CTCTCTCTCTCTCTCTCTTATGAGGACCCTGGTCGCATCCCTGACGAACCCCGAAACCCAAGCCGAAGAAGCCCTAAACCCAATCCCTATACTGACACTGATAGGACCCTCCAGTCCTCAACGCGACACCCCAACCGCTGGAGCCTTGGCCACCTGCATGTATCCAGTCTGGCACCGCAGGGCATCCCCGAAGTTCAGGGCTCCTTGTCGGGCAAGCTTGGGCTTAGGTTCTATAGAGCTCGGTATGAATTAAACCTTAGCACTCAGGGCCCTTTTCTAAGTCGCATCTGCAGTGCCCAGGACCCACGACGAATCTTATCTTAGTCGTGACCGCAATGAAGTCGCAGGAATGGTCGTAATGGCTGAAGCGCGGCAGGGATGGATATTTCTATACGCACGAGATTTGCTGCATGTCAGTATTCCATCACGTTCCTGCCTGCTTCGATCTGCGGAACCTGGTACAGCCAAAGGATGACCTCGGGAACTTCCACTACATGGGGAGGATTTCGGGCCTGGGTGACGGGCTCTGAGGTCAAGAGTGTGCTTGGGCCGCTTAAAGCAAGTTAGGCTAGGGTGATTCGACAGCGATTCACAGCTTCGGGCTCAAAGATTCACTATCGCAAGCCGAGGCACGACAGGAAAGAAGTCAACGATACCGAGCGTCGTCGAAAACAGCATGCTGATGAACGCCTAGAGGCTCGACAAGCAATAGAGCTGTCAGGCTCTCGCATCAACGTACATACAAGTTGCATGCCCGCAGCAGACTGACCTGTACTCTCACTGTACAAGCCCTTTGCTGGAGCAGGCGCAACTCGTTAAAGCCAGGCAGCATTGTATCTGAATGCCTGCAGACGGTGTTCAGAAGCATCAACTCGAACCAAAACTCAGTTGACTCTCCATGCAAAGGCTCGCCCTAACACTTGGGCGCCCGGCATCGACGTGGGAATTGAAATGGTGCCTCGAGCGAGCAGCTTCAACCTCCAGGGATCCAAGGTCCGGGGCACCGAATCAGACTTTCGAAACTGGAAGCTTGGACCTTCGTCCTTCACAAAAGTGACCACATGGGAGTTTCCGAACATGAGGGGTACCTTATTTTGGGCTCCTTATAATAAGGATCCTACTATTTATGGTCCCCTATTTTCGGAAACCCTCACATGTTGCATCTTATGAGCGTAACAATGCACGATGGCCACCTGATCTCCGTGTGCAAGAGCCACAGGTTCTGCATGTTCGCCTTTGGCGCCGGCGGGCTATTCCCTGTGCGTTACGCAAAATATCATATACCATGTCAAACCGTATCATGTCGAATTGCAGTATAGTATAGTACCGTATGCAATCGTGAAGTATAGTATAACGTAACATAGTATAGTGCAGTGTGCAGTATAGTGTAAGGCTCTGTGCTTTGAAGCTGTACTGGGAAGCAGGCGCAGACGGGCCAGAGAATAGCGGAAGGTGGCACCTCGTCCGAAGGAGTGTGTAGGAGGGTTTCGGAATTGAGGATGTAGGGTTTAGGGTCAACTCTCAACAGCATGCAAACACCTCGTGCCATGGTTTGGATTTCGAGACACAGCACAGCTCCAAACCCTGAACCGTCGACCAAACTGTTAATTAAATGGAATGCACGATTTGTGTGTATCTACATTCTAGGTATGCCGAGTAAGAAGCTTTGCAAAGGCTGTCTAGTGCAGCTTCTCTACTACTGTGTATCTACATACTCTACACTACTTGTTACTACACTGCCAATACGATACCTGTAACTAGGAACATATCAAGACTCACATGATGCATGTGGTTTACAGTGCAACTATGACGAAGGATGTCATGGCAGACATCGCTCTACGCGGAGCTCGAACCTGTCTCAAGCTGATCCTTGAAGGCATCCACCAAGGCATTTCCGAAGAGACCTGGGGATGCGTGGTAAGTGCAACGGGGCCTAAAGCCAAAATCGTCTTGGGTTTCGCTTTGGGGTTCAGTATGAAGCCCCAAATTTATAAATACTCACGACAGGGCTGTGTGAGAGGGTGTGCAGTATAACAGAAATAAGGATTCTGAAGGAGTGGCAGTGCTCATTTTTTCATCTGCTTCTTCCAGCATGAGCTGCGGCCAAGACACTGCAATCGCACGTTCTACAGTGGCTAAATCTAGTTTCGTTTTGGGACTCTCACAGCCGAGGTGCGACGCACGTGGGTCACCAGTGCCAGTGGACAAGAGCCACCACGAGGAGCATCCACAGAAGAAATCAGCATTGCAAGAGCACTAGGACTGGCATTGGCCAAAGCTCTGAAAATGATGCCCGGACTTTACAAAACTGCTACGTTCTTACTTATCTGCAAAACAGCAAACATGCGCCTTCGCTGTTGTGTCCGTGCACGCAAACTTCGTTGTTGTGCAGGGTTCGGCACTCAGAAGTCCACTTGGCTATGGCCCGTCCGCACGGGGCTAAACCCGACGAGGTATGTCGTGCCAAGCTACTGATGGAGAGCATCAGCCGTAGAGATGCCATGCCCATACAGGTCGCCAGGAGGGCATAGCCGCCCAGCTGGATCATAACCTTACATGATAGCCAAACAGGGCTGATCAGGCTGATCACCTGTGCTACTGAAGAGTAATAGCAAGAATGCCAAACCCTACAAACCCTAAACCCGACAAACCCTAAACCCTACAAACCCTAAACCCTACAAACCCTACCAACCCTAAACCCTAAACCCTAAACCAAACCCTACAGTCTTGCAGTGAAGGTCAGGGGTTGCAGTGCCTGAGCCCCAGGCTCCCGCCCATGCCAGCATTCCGAACCTCGCAGTCGCAGAAAAAAAGGCGCAAAGACTTAGGATCTAGGGTTTAGGGTTTAGGCTTTAGGGTTTAAGCATTGGGGTTTAGGGTTAGGATCACGCATCTATCCATCGCTGAAGACTTCGTGGAGAAAGATGTAATCGAGCCTAGCTACGCTATATGGGCGCTTCTAGGATGCAACGGACCCCAACATATAAACCCCTTCATCTAGACGCCCCTCATCGGCAGATGCAACTCCAGAAATGCGAGGCAAGTGCTACCCTCCGCAAAGATCATGACAGTAATTCAAGTTTCATGTAGGGTTCAGGGTTGTAAAATGTTTTAATTCATTACAAGCTTCCTGTAGGGTTCAGAGTTGGGGCCTTCCTTCAACCGGGCTTAGGGTTCCGGCTTTCAGTTCTATTTTTGACAAAAACCACAGCCTATCAACCCTTCACCAAGTGAAGGGGAGCCGCACCGCAGAGAGGAATCCGGAGAAGAGCACGTACATGAGGAAAGCAAACCTTGAAGAGGGGAGGTTTAGGCTCGATGAGGGTATAAGGGCTTATAAATTTATGAAGGTATAAGGGTTTATAAAGGCATAGGAGTTTAGAGTTTAGGCTCTTTAAGGCTATTAGGGTTCTGAAGCTGAACTTCCAGTCTGGAGACTTACCACTGCAAATTGAGCGCAGCGGCTCGCAGCTGTTCGTGGTGTAGTACGTCATAATCTAGGGTTGAAAAAGTCTGCCGTGTTTTCAGGATGGCGGAGGGGCTCACATGCATCAACAAACCGGAAGGCGCTACATTGTGGAGCATGTTTCGTGCAACATCAGCTTCGGACCGTTTCTTGTCTGTTGCTCATTGCCGCGACTGGCGGGCTTTAAATTCCCCTAAACCTTGAACGGCCACATGGCTGCTCCTGAGGGACTGCTCTGCAGACTCGCTGATGCGCTGATCCGGGTTGTCGAGGTCCCGCTTCTGAGTTCAGCAGAGCAGCAAGGGCCGAGAGTTGAGGGCGCTGAGGGTTAGGGTTTAGGGAAAAGGGCTGAGACATATGACGCAGATGGACGATCCTTGAATGTATGCCAGGCACCTCGTCATCCATCTTCAGCTTGTAGTATGCCTGGCCTCCGCCTGTTCGATGTTGCACGTTCTTGCGAGGTTTAGGAGTGAACACACCGCGACTTGCTTCAGGATGGCAGGCCTGAGATGTAGGACTGGAGCATCGAGTTGGTGATGTAGCCTCAGCTCCGATGCTGTGTTCCTGGAAGCAGCCCCTAACCCTTAAACAGGTAAACCCCAAAACTTCGCAACCCTAAACCCTAAACCGGAAACCCCTAAACCCCTAAACTCCTAACTCCTAAACCGGAAACCCCTAAACTCCTAACTCCTAAACCGGAAACCCCTAAACTCCCAAACCCTAAACCCTGAACCCTCAAAGCCTGACACCTAGATCTGCTTCGAGGGACTCTGAAGCGACGATGCAAACCACCTGAGTGCAAGCGAGCACAGGGTTTAGGGTTTAGGGTTGTGGTTTAGGGTTTAGGGTTTAGGGTTTAGGGTTTAGAGTGAAGGGTTTAGGGTTTAGAGTAGAGGTGCAGGTAGATGCTTGCATTCATGCATACTGTTATACACACACACTCTCGAGCAGAGGTGACGGCCAAGTCCCCTGGGCTTTAAGCTCACCCGGTCCTTTCGATCGGGGCTCTCTCTCTCTCTCTCTCTCTCACTCTCGCTCTCTATCTGTACCTATAATTTACATCCATATCTGTATCCATACCTACACCTATATCCATATCTATACCTCTAGCTACTCTAGCTGTAGTTATATCTATATCCATACCTATGGCTGTAGCTATAGCCATGTCTATATATACATGCGTACACACATACATGTCTATATGCACACACTTCGATGTACAGGTACAACGCCCACGTAGGAGCGAATGCCTTGCTACTCACGTCAGTGTAGACAGATATGTGTGAGTTTGAGCATGTGCATGTATGTGTATTCATTCGTAATATTGTACGCATTCCGAAGACTCAGTGCTTCTGCGCGACGCTTGGATCATCGGATCCTTACCACTGGCAGCAACAGGACAACTGTGAAGGATCTGGAACCAGAGATGGATTGGCTTGCCCACAGATTCACACCCCAGTTATGCACAGCTGTGCTGATGAACTCTGCACAACAACCTCGCATTTTGACTTCCACGCTAGCCTGCGAAAGGCACAACAGTTGAAATCCAGCGGCCAAGATGAGAAACAGGGGCGCTGTGGCAATTTGCCATGCCAGCATGGAGAAGAGGCGGCTGTAAACCAAGGAAAGGTCCTAAGCTGCTGCAGGTGAGATCCGCGCTTGCTCATGCAGCATATATTCCAAACAGGCTGGTGACGATGGAATATATTGTCATGTATCACCAGGCAGCAGGTACACATGTAGCAATACGATGCAGTAGCAAAGACGCCTAACAATGCCGGATCATGGTTAAGGCAGGCCTTCCTTCTCTGCGCTGTAGAACTTAGTAGACTTGGTGGATGGCCAATGCCCTAGCGAGTCAGTTTATGAAGTAGTGAACAGCTTGACTGAAACTTCAATGCTCGAATTACTTGATTGCTTAATCCGGTGGCTAGTTCTTCCTTTCTTCCGTAGGACCACGCAGGCCGTTCATTTCCTTTTCTTCATAAATTCATCCATTCGTCTGTGCTTCGTTGGTTCGACTGCCACTTATCAACCCAGTCGCTAACCTGCTGGCGGGTACACGCAATGTGTGGATTGATGTATAAATACAGATATACCGTGCATAACGTTTCGTGAATTGCAGGAGCGCAGTGCGCGCTGTCTGTGGAGAGTGGAAGGGAAATCTCAGGCTCATCTGTGCTACATGTTGATGTGCCTGAGTCACTAGTTCAGTTCCCATGGGTTGGAAGATATAGCCTAGTCATACGAAACTGTTCTGGTTCATCTTCATGATTCGTGAACTCTTTAATTATAAAGCTTTCTCCGAGGGTGCCTGCTTCCCCAGCATCTGCAAACTACAGAAACAGCAACAATAACCCCAATCAAGAAGTAGTTCATCAACTATGTCAAGCTTCTCTCGTGCTCCGTACAGCAACGATAGCATTGGTCAGATCGGCCGTCAGAGAGGATAGGAGCTGTGCGTATGTCCACTCTCTGAGAAACCAGTGAGCTATTGTGAGCAGGCAGAGGCTGGTCGACACGCACCTGTATGCATCGTGTGTTAGCCAGCCTTTGGCTATGTTGTACACGGACTGAATACCGGCGAAGTCCCGGAGGAACGCTGCCACCGCCGAGTATCTCTCCTCCGGCTTCTGTTCGTTCCACGGACCAGCAGCTTGAATGCGCGTGCGTCTGGCGATGTACTGCATGAGCAGCGCAACGAGTAAGTTCATGACGATAAGAAGGGGCACGAGGCAAAGATTCTGCAAGCTGCCCCCTGGCTGTAACAACTTGAACAGCAAATTCCCATGCAAATTCTCTGCCCCGTAGAGCTGATGGTAGCCATGGTGGCTACCATGGCTACCTGAAGGTAGGCTGACATTCGCAAATTCCGGCAATAGGTGCTGTAGCACTGATGCAGGGGCGGAGTGGCCCACCAAGAATGGCAGCAGCATGGTGTGGCATGGCCATATCTGGCTATACACTTCCAATCTTGGGTGGTGTCTGCTTGCTTTGGAATGCTCTGGAGAAATATCGGCTGAATCCACTCATTTCTGAGACACAAGCTTCTCTCTTGGTGCCTTTCGTGCAAAGCTGTCCTGAAACCCAAGGTCCAGTGTAGGCTTCTTCATAGTTTTCAACAGGAACTTTACAGATAGTGTGGTATACAACCAGAAGGGGACTAGTATCAACTTAAGAACATTATCGATACGTGTTCCGACCACTGTCTTCTAGATTCCCTTTAACTCAGCCTTAAAAAGGAATAACTCTGAGCTTCATGCAGCTGGCACCGAAATACGTGGGATTGCGCTCGGTTCAGTACCAAAAGCTTTGAGCAAAATTGGAGCATCCAGACTTGCTTGCGCCAGTCCCGTACCATGGTGCTTGTGAGTTTCCGCATGGTCCACGGTAGCAGCTAGCTTCAAGAGTAGAAGCGAAATCTCTCATTCATCATGACTGCAACTATGGTAGAAGGCCTCGCTGGCTGCACTGGGGCGCCTGGAGCAGACCGATGCAGGGCCTCAGCATCATTGAAGGGTCGTAAAAGGTGAGATGAAAGTCGGTAGGACTAAGCATCCCTTAAGCAGTACAAGGGCTCTTATCTGGGCCCCACCTACCTGCATCCCAGCCTTCAGAATAGGCCTGTGGGGTATACTAAATCATACAACTGAACTACAACATTCCAATTTGACATAGGAACCTTTAGCGGACGACTAGTCAACAAATCAGACCGCTTTACTCGGGTGCTGTATGTCCGGTTTTTGTCATATGGCCTGAAAGATGTCACATACCTTCACCTTGGGATGCCTGCTGCGGAAACTTGTCCAAGTTCTAAGAGGGAATCGGTAGGCAACTGTTCATAGGGGTGTCTACAAGTGATACTAGTGCACATGAAGAAGAGACAGAGTCCTGACCCCCATTCGGAAAGCAAAGGCAGCGATGCACCCGGCAGGCCACTGAAGGTCTTGATCCACGATGCTTTTGACCCACACCATTTCCTAAGCTGAAGCTGTAATCTCAAACTCTATGGAGAACACCGGCTCTGAACCCTAAACACCAAAATCCCAAATAGCCATGTACCTTACCAGCCCGAAGAACTGAGGCACACGCTGGGATGAAGAACAGGTCGCGGCTCTTCGCTGCCCGCAGGCTGCGCCTGGCCCAAGAAGCTCTGAAAGCATTTACCACGAGTGCAGTGGTAGTAATACTAACAGGAGTAGCAGTAGCAGCAGCAG